TTCTGGCAGGAAATTTCTATTTCAGGTCATGAAATTCTGATTTCAGACAACTTTAAAGGGAAGAGATAAAAAGGGATTAGAATCTGAAGCCTTCTTTCTGAGACTTTTCAAAGGGGCTGGAAAGAATTTAGAAATGCAATTGTCAAGTCTCCCAATTGTTTGCAAAAGAAAGTAACAAAGAAAGAACTAGGAAAGAAAAAGAAATTCTAAATGAATAAACCCAGGTCAGGAAAATGTCAGAGAGTTGCAAATGTTTATAAATATAAAATTGAATCCTGAGGGCTTGTAGATTAAGATCTAGGAAATCCTGGGTAAGTAAAATTATCTGTTGCCTCTAATTCCATTAAGTAATTTGATACTAGTCCTGAAAAAATATAGTTGCTAAGTAAAAAAAGTTTGCTGTATAAAAATTATTTTTTTGAATTGTGTATATTTTAAAGAATCTTTATAAATGTCACCTAATATGGGAATGCTTCTGAAGATTTTGGCTGTTGTAGTGAGTTTTGAAATGCAAGTGCATTTCAGGTATGCTAAATCATGTGTTGAAAGTGTATGTATGTATGTATGTATGTATGTATGTATGTATGTATGTATGTATGTATGTATGTATATATAGGCTTAATATGACATAAGTGCTCTGGAAGAGAGAGACACACAACATAATAATTTCATTTGAATTTAAGCTTCCTGCAGATATTTTGCATTTTGTATCTCATTTTGCATTACAATAGGATTAGCCCATTTTGATGTTTTGCTACTGGAAAAACAATAGTTCCTCCAGTATTGCTGTCAATAAATTCTGAGAAAACAGGAAAATCTGAAAAGGTAACCTACCGTATTTTTAGGAGTATAAGACATACCTTTTTTCCTCAAAAAAGAGGCTGAAAATCTGGCTGCATCTTATACACTGAATACAGCATTCACCCAAATGGCTGTGCATAGCTTGTAGGAGGCTTTCAGAGAGCTCCTGGGGGCTGGGGAGGGGAGGTTTTTGCTCAATTGTGCTCCCCCAGCCCCCCCCCACCGGAGCACCCTATAGCTTCCTAACAGCTATCCATGCCCTTTTTAGATAAAAAAGAGGCCCGTTTTCACGAAAACAGGTGGTTTTTTGCTCGTTTTTTGCTCCCCCACCCCCCAGGAGCACTCTGCAAGTCTCCTAGGGGCTATCCATGTCCTTTTTTTGAAAAAAAATATGGGCCCGTTTTTGCGAAAAACAGGTTGTTTTGGGGAGGTTTGCAGAATGCAAAACCTTTTTTTTTTAATTTGCCTCTTTAAAACCTTGGTGCGTCTTTTACTAAGGTATGTCTTATACTCCGAAAAATACAGTATATGATGTTATTGTCTCTATTAATAAAATTGTCTCAGTCTTTTCAGTTCTTTTTCCAGTACAATAATTCATTTTACAAATTACCATCATAGTACTAAATCCATCAACTCTGCTTCAAAATACACGGTCATGTAGGATGTTCTAGATCTGTGATGGCGAACCTATGGCACATGTGCCCAAAGTGGCATGCAGAACCTTGTTTCCTGGCACACATAGCATCACCCATTCCTTTTCTATGTTTCTGATGTGCATGCACATGCCACGCCAGAAACCCATAAGAGGAATGTGCGATACACATGTGCCAGGTGACAAGGCTCCGCCGGCCTTCATGCGTGCAGCAGTTCAGGGAACTGGTCTTCTGTTTTCCAGCGTGAGCATACACCAGCCAGATGATCGTCAAACACGCAGATGCGCCAGTAACTGGAAGACTAGCAGAAGTTGATTTTCTGATGCGTGCATGCCTTTTGGGCAGCTCCTCTTCCGGATTGCAGCCTTGATGAGCACATGCGCGTGTGCTCCCCTTTTGGCACTCGGTGCCAAAAAGGTTTGCTATCACTGTTCTAGATATTCATATTATGAAAAAAGAAAAGCTTGGACCATTTTCTGTTCAAAACATAAGTGGTACCAGAGCACTATGTCTTGCTTTTTATAGGTACTAGCAAAGGCTGGCTAATTCTACTTCAACTCAATTACGCAATCAAATAAAGTAGTCTGGTACTTCAGCCAGATGATTCACCAAAATAGGCTGTTTGAGTGCAAGAGGATGTTCTGTTTTAGTGTTCTTCTAATGGTCCTTCAAGTCACCCTGACACCTGGTGACCACATGGCTAATATCCATGAAGTTTTGCTGGCAATGTTTTGGGAAGTGGTTCTTCCTAGGGCTGAGAGAGAATGACTGGCTTACAGTCATCCAACTGGCTTCATGCCTAAGGGAGGTGTTCTATTTTAGAGCCTTTAAATTGGAGCCAGGGATTGTATCCAGGACCTCACAGATGCAATAGACAAGTTTACCACTGAGCTACAGCATTACTTCCTTCCTCAAATGTACTCAGTTGGGCTTATGAGGATATAATTGATAGTGGGTATCAGCCGAGTCTCCAAACTTTCATATAATTTAAGGCAAACATAACCAAACAGGAAAAAGAAACATATATGAGTAGAAGAAGTGAAAGCAAGGCACGCATAATTTGCATAGGTCAAAAAAGGGCAGTAAAACATCTGTTAGTAGTAGTTGACATGTGTCAATTTTCAGTGCTCATTAAATTCATATTAATGCTGAGCCACTCTTAAACACCAAATGTACCTCCCAGTTGCTGTCATCTCAAGTTGAGTGGTGATGGTCACTTTTCAGAACTGTGCCGATCCTGTTTACTTGTCAGTAGCATCTGACATGGGGTCAGTATTGTATTTAACCCTTTGTTGTAGGTCAAAAGAAGAATTAATCTACTGAGAATTGAATTGTTTGAATAACAGGTGTCCCTTTATAGAGTAGCTGCCAGACTAAAACTGGAACATGTTTTCCACCTTCTTTCCTTTTTATTGGCCATAAAGAAGCACCTCAGGGAAACAAATTCAAACTTAAGATCACTGAGACTGGAAGTATGCTGCAGGATGAGAAAATAGCAGGCAGTTAATTTAACAATATTTGAAGCTTATGACTATTTTGTTTCTGGGTTGGTATATTAAAAAGCCATTGTCGTGGGTTTTGACTGACAAAAGAAACAACAAATGTCATATTATTCTGGAATCATTCTTCATGTGATTCTATATAGATAGAATTTCTCATATCACACTGCAAAAAATGTTAGATATGGAAGCATTTAGTACATGTCTCATGGTGATGGAACACACCAAGAGCTGCAGAATTAATAAATATATATAATAATAATTGGTTATGTGTATTTCTTAAGAAAAATTACTGTTTTTGAAATTCAGTTATGTAAATAACTGTAAATTATGTTCTTGTATATTCCTCACATTTCAAAATAAAAATATTCTAAAGAGGCAAACAAATTAAAAAAATAATTGAATATTAAAATCTGCCAGAAATATTACATTTCTTGCATTTCTGCTGTAATAGTTTTTCTGAGATAAGAAGAAAGATGATAGAAATAGTAGGAATACATGAGAGAGTATTGAAGAGAAGATGATGTTGTAATTATGTAAAATTCATGAGTGATGCAGAGTGATTAAAGAATAATCAGGTCCAGCCACATTCCTATTTGAAGAGACTCCTGGAAAAATTGCAGAAAAACAGATTCCTAGGTTTGGAAGGGGACATCTAGGCTGTTGCTTCCAATTTCTTGCTCAGTGTAGGATCCTGAAAAAAATATTCTAGGCAGATGATTTTCTTTTGGACACATTCTGTACAAGATCCCTGTCCTGCTGGGATCTGTTCCCCATAGCATTTAATTGGAATCTACCTTCCAGTGGACTCATTATTCATAAATTAATCCATTATTCTGCATTGCCGTCTCTGAAATAAAATATAATAGGCTTTGACTTCCATATGACATTTTTTTCAAGTAATTTGAAAAGTGCTATCATGTTTATTATGTTGTTTTTCTTTCCTAAGGCTAAATATATCCAATTTCTTCAGTTTTCCTATAGGGCGTAATTTCTAATTTCCAGATCATTTCATTGTCTTTTGGAATATTAGCAAACCAGAGTGTCTGATCTTTTTTAAAGTTTGGTGCCCAGATGTGGATATAATCCTTGAAGTACTCTAACTAGCTATATCTTGAATAAAGTTAGTAATATTCCTGATACCCTTTTAGGTTTGTTTGTTTTTTCACTTACCTTCTCTACTGGTTCGCAAATGTGAGCATGCGCTGCAAATGCCCAGTGCTCATGCATTACATCGGGCAGATGGGCGGAGCCTCCCACATGCGCCACTACCAGTTCACCCGAACCGGACACAACTGGCTGAATACTGCCTCTGCTTTGCAGCCTCAACTTTTTAGTTTTACATGTTAATATAGCCAACCTTTTCTATAATAGCAAACCTATCTAATAATCTAAACCCAGAGTCAAAGTTTCATTTTTTTCCCTGTCTCAAGCACAAAATCCAGAAGTAGTTTTCAAGTAGAAACAATGTTCTTTTCTTTGATTAGGTCAGTCAATTTAGTCATTTCTGCAAGTTCCAATCATTTTTTGAGCCAATCATCCATTGTAGGAATTAAAATATCTTTCTATTTTTGTTCATAAAGCATACTTTCTGTAATAAACATATATAATAACAAAGTTCCATTTCCCCCAAAGTTCTTTGTCCATTAAGCCTGAAAGAAGTCTCTGGTTTTATTTTTATATTCACTTTAAGAATCTTCTGTATTAAAATATTAATCTTACCCCAGTATTTTTTTTTGCTCTGTTATAGTCCCACCAAAGATGAAAAAAAGTTCTTTCATTTCATTTACATTTCCAACATACATTTGAAGTACCTTTATACATTTTAACAGTTTATATGGTGTTTAATATAAACAGTATATCTATCATATTATAATTTTTTTAAAATTATCATTTAATGTAAATTTGAAACTCCCTGTCCACATGATTTTTCATTGTTCAAGCATTATATTATTATGCCCAAAATTCTTTACCATTTGGATAGTGCAACACTTCACATATTGATTCTCCAAATTCAATTTCAATATGGATCCCTTTTGTTTTTCAGAGGATGAGGAAGATGATGAATTGGTGGAATTGAAAGCTCAAAACGATGCTGAGATAGAAACTCAAGAAAAGACACAAGATGTGAAGGAAGGTATGTAACTAGATTGTTTGGAATTAAATACTAGATGTCCATAGTAAGCTTTGGTCTCAGCTAAGCTGTATTGTGTCATTATATGTTTTGCTATGGTTTTTTTTAATGGTTTAAGCCCTATTAAGTCACTTTCTGTTGTATTAATGAGCTGAGCAACCATATAAATAGTTTGAATAAAATATATATGTTTAAGGTTATAACCACAACATCTAAAATCTTTAGCTAGTATATTACCTTTTTTTCTTTGATGATTGATCAAAACAAGTTAGCTGAATGATTTGACTTCTGCTAAGTCTAGAAATATATTACACTATTTTTTTGTTTTTTGTTTTGTATTTTTTTTTAAATACAAGACTTATTAAAATTAATAAGACTTATTACAAGACTTATTAAAATTAATAGATGCCTCATAATCAGAGGCCCATCTTTCTGACACGTGGACTAGAGTCATCTTCTCATTGCTCTGGCTATGAAGTGTACTTTCTTGATAGTTCTCTCAAGCATTTAGAAACCTGTGAAGACAGATTTCTTTTGACAGGCTTATCGACCTGAGATGCTTTTAATCTCAGTGCAATGCAATAATGAATGCCATTATTCAAGTTAATTTTTATTAAGTTTTCATATTTTGTTTTGTCTTAGCTAGCTTTATTGCCTGCTAGGGCATTATATAAATTAAATAAGCAAATATATTCCTAGATGGAAGGGCCAAGAATTGTCCATGACGTTTACAGTTTAAAAGGATTGGGTAGATTCCACTAGTGTGGAGAACTTTTGATTCTGGAGGGTGGTTAGGGGTCAGACTAAACTCAGTGGATAAATGGTCTGAACAGATCAAAAGTAGTTTCCTAGATTTTACCTTTTGCCTTTAGCACTAATAACTAGTGTGAGTGCACCTGAACTCTGGTAAGCTAAGCTTACACTTAAAGAGTTTCTGCTTACTTGAATGCAGCTCTTCTTATCAGAAGAGAAGCCAATAATCTTGGTGAGAGCAGAAGAACTATACTCAGTTGTTCAACTGTGGTTGAGATTTGGGTCAAGTTTCCTCTCCTTGCCACATGAAAGCAACCATAATTCGTGTATCTCTGGAAGCCGACGTAGTGAATTATGAGTGAATACTTTTTAAAAGCCAAGTTAAATAGACTCCTGAAAGACATGTATTTATTTTAGCTTTTCACGGGCTTGCAAGTGACTTCTATGTATACCTCAGCTGTATTTGAAGGATAGCCATAACTAACATCATCTCTTTTTTGTTATAGTTTAGTCTAGTTGAAGTGTTTTGTGTTTCCCCTGGCTCCTCTTCTTGTCTTCCTAAGCCAGATCTCAAGCAAATGATAGTCATAAAATCCCTCCCCCACTTTTTTCTTTTCTTTTTGGTAGTAATAGTTTTTGAGACATTCAGACCGCAGGTTTAAAAAGGAAGTCTGGTAGTTGAATCAGAGACAGCAGTACTTTGTGAGGATGTTAATATTTTAGCAACTGAAAAGAAAATAATAAATTGAAACTGACACTGGAACTGACACAAAGTTGGTTGAGTTTCAGTTAGCTACCTCACTTCCTTTTGTACCATTTCAATTCCTTCTGTACCATTTCAATATTTCAAAAAAGCTTATCACCGTAAAATCTAGTCCCACGAGACAGGTGAAACATGTAGTTTTTTTTCTCATGAAATTTATCGCAGGATAATTAAATCTGGGCTCATTGCTTGACTCCTCCTATGAAAGCCATTGCTTGAACATGGAACATAAGAATCAGCAATATTATAAGAGTGCCCATCTACATGCACAGAGTATTTTTCCTTGAGTAATCTTAGCCATCCAGCATTTGAAATGGAAAAGATTAATTTCATGTCACTGAGAATATTGTGGATTTAAAAGTTTATACACAAACATGTAGGAATAAGATTATGATATAAATAACTATGAGCAAGCCAAGATATTTGTCATTAACTAAACTTTTCAGTTTTATCAATATTTTTAATCACATAATTCCATCATACAGACTTTCTTTTTCTGACTTTGTAAGTTTTGTTTTTGCTTCAAGACAGTGATTACAAGTATGTTAGAGGCAACACATGTATTTTGATTAATATTTCCTGCTGTTACTGGGTTCAGCAATATTTATTCTGAATTAAGGGCTTTCCTGAAAATTAGTATCTAATAGGTTAAATGCATGTTTTTGTTGGCATAAAATGCCCGTTTCTTTTTCCATGCAAAGCAAAATACCTTTAAAAAAAACCTTTGCAGAATTTCTAATAGATATTTAGCAGTACCATTTACATTTCTAAAAGATGGATCAGCTGGATCAGTCCTTCCACTATGAAACTTGGTTTTGAAAGATTCTATAACTCTGCTGTAAAATTTTAATCCAAATTAAAATTCTTTGCTACTTCAAAACATTAGAATCTGGGGTCGTTGTTTTTAAAGGAAGTAAACCCATGAAACAAATATCTGGACATTTCTTTAAAAAGTGACTTTCTATGGAATATTATCTGCTACGTTGCTATTTTATCTTTTGCAATTTGAATAGTAACAAAAAATATAAAAGGTTGCTACATCTTAAGTTAGATTTTTTGTCCAATATTGATTGGTACTAATTGGTACAGCTTTTCAAGTTTCCAGAAAAGTTTTCCTGGCTTCAGGTCTTCAAAAAGCATATGATTTCATGCTTAGAATAATATATATTTAAAAAGGGCTGCATATTAAATGTGTATGGAGATTCTCAGTCATTGAGATAATGCACACATTTTAGGTTTACCTTCTTGATTACATTTTGTTCATTGTCTAAAACAATTATGCCTTTATGTTTATACATAATAATAGCTAATTTTAATTTCTAGATACCTGTTGTTTGCAGTGATTGTGCCATTAAAATAAAACTTGTTTGCCAAAATGTTTTTTATCCATCATGTTCTATGCTTCTCTTTCAGGTTTTTCAGGTTTAAAAACAATACAAAGTGTGGTTAAGTTAATGTTCCAATTATTAAGGCTGAAATTATACTTTTGTAGTCATATCGCACACATTGATTGTGTTCAAATATAGTTTGTTGAAAAAGGTGCAGTGTCTTGATTCACTTAATGCTAAGCTTTACAACTACAACTGCCAAACTGTGCTCACAGTGAACTCAGATGAACACCATGGGATATTTTAAATTTTTGAGGGAAAGACGATAATACTTTGACATCTGCCAGACAACATGCAACCTTAGGCACTGTGTAAAAAATTACTAAGACATTAAGGATGCCATGATTTGAGAAAGCTTGGGACACTCTGGTTTAAATCTAAACCAGATGTATCTATATTATAGAGCCAAGGTGGTGCAGTAGTTAGAGTGCAGTATTGCAGGCTACTTCAGCTGATTTCTAACTGCAGTTCGGCAGTTCAAATCTCACCATCTCAAGGTAGACTCAGCCTTCCATCCTTCCGAGGTGGGTAAGATGAGGATCCAGATTGTTGGGGCAATAGGCTGACTCTAAACTGCTTAGAAAGGGCTGTAAAAGCACTGAAGCAGCATATAAGTCTAAGGGCTATTGCTGTTGCTAATCAGTCTTAGAATTGCAGATTGTGCTATGTCAATATCTAAGAAACTGCATTATGGTTTAGGATGAAATATGAACCTTAACAATAATACTACTTTTAGATAAAGGCTATCCCCCTTTTCCTTCTCTGTTTTATTTATCTAAAGCCTTTCTGATTGATTCTAATTGGTATGGTGAATATAGGTTCACTGATGTTATAATGCAATTTATGACCTATTACCTGTTTGCACACCTAAAATTATCTGGGATTTTTGGGTGTGTTCTGTGAGGTATATGGGATAGAATTCACTGTCTTATTTCAAATGTAATAGAAATAACTCAGAAGAGATAGCAGCACATTATTTGTTTTAAGATGACCTAAATTATCATAATGTAATAAGAGGCCTTTAGATTTAATTTAAGTATTAAGTAAAGAATACGTGAAGTGTTAATACCACTTTATGCCTTAGTAAGGCCACACTTGGAATACTGCATCCAGTTTGGGTCGCCACAATGTAGAAAAGATGTGGAGACTCTAGAAAGAGTGCAGAGAAGAGCAACAAAGATGATTAGGGGACTGGAGGCTAAAACATATGAGAAATGGTTGCAGGAACTGTGTGTGTCTAGTTTAATGAAAAGAAGGACTAGGGGAGACATGATAGCAGTGTTCCAATATCTCAGGGGTTGCCACAAAGAAGTCAAACTATTCTACAAAGCACCTGAGGGCAGAACAAGAAGCAATGGGTGAAACTAATTAAGGAGAGAAACAACTTAGAACTGAGGAGAAATTTCCTGACAGTTAGAACAATTAATCAGTGGAACAGCTTGCCTCCAGAAGTTGTGAATGCCCCAACACTGGAAGTCTTTAAGAAGATGTTGGATAGCCGTTTGTCTGAAATGGTATAGGGTTTCCTGCCTAGGCAGGGGGTTGGACTAGAAGACCTCCAAGGTCCCTTCCAACTCTGCTATTGTATTATTGAAAAGAAGGATGAAAATGTTTATGGACATAATAAGAAAATGTTTGGTATTACGGTGGGATCACTGACTAAAAAATATTCCATCTTCATTCAGTTTTACAGTCTATAATTTATCATCTTGCCTTGGTAATGATATTTTGGAATATATTTCTGTATTAAATATATTCACTAACTTCTACCTTTATAATTTTTCTAATACATCAGTCTGGTCCCTGTATTTTAAATTGAATTTCTTTTAAGACTTTCAAAAATTGGGCATGATGTGTTTCCAGTAGTCCAAAACGTTATAAAACTGTTTCCAGATCTTTTCTTTATGTAACTTCTCTTTATGATAAATGGAGCAAAGCATGAATTTTAATCAGTTAAGAATATTTTAATCTTGCTAAGTGTCAGTTCACATCTGATCATCATTTAATTTGAAAAAAAATGGAATTATATTTTATTAATACTGGGATAAGAAGTCATGTCTAAATTCCAGACAGAAAAATAAAATAAAAATCGCAGAAGAAAGCAACAACAAACTACTTCCAATTTATTGCCAATAAAATTACATGATATATTCATTTAGCTATCAGGAGTATAACTCAATTTCATATTTTAAGAACATTTTAAAATTTGTTTGATTTAGAAATTGAAATTGAAGATGGCTTCTGTATTGAAAAAGCAATTAAGGCTATTTTTTGTTAAACCTGTTTCACTGTCTTTCCAATCTTGCCAGGATAGTAAGCATCAATCAAAATGTGAAGTTTATTTTTTTGTGTGAGCTTAACTATTTTCTTCTTAATAACAATAAATATGCAAGATATAAGATTTCTTTGGTATAGAAGCCACATTCTAGGATTATGTAGTGCTATATTAATGAATTCATTTTTTTTCCTTTAAAAGACAGCAAACCATCCATCTTACCAATTTCACTATAGGTTTCATAGAAAGATCTCATTTCTTTTCTGAAGAGTTAGATTCATCTGGAAATATTTAAATGCTTGTATGTTTAATGCTGCCAATATTCTTTTGGAAGCTCCTCCTAGAGAATTGACAGAGGAAGAAAAGCAACAGATTCTACATTCAGAAGAATTCCTCATATTTTTTGACCGGACAATACGCGTGATTGAGCGAGCTCTAGCTGAAGATTCGGACATTTTCTTTGACTACAGTGGCCGGGATGTTGAGGAAAAAGATGGGTCAGTGCTCCCTCCTTACCACCCCACTTTTTTAAAAAAAAAAACAGTCAGTAAATAAAATGACTTACAAAGAGTAACACCTCAGCGTTCAAAAATCTGTAGTGATAAACTTTCTGAGTTTAATAATGTAATAAAATACATTTACTGGATCTTCTTCATTAATTCTAGTGGTTCACAATAATCTTTATCCTGCATAATCTTATTGTAATATATTGAAACAGAGAAGAAATGAATATACCAGCTTTTATCTAGATTAGTGCTTTTCAAACTTAACAACTTTAAGATGGTGGGGAATTCTGGGAATTAAGGTCCACAAATATTAAAGTTGGCCCGTTTGAAAAATACTGATTTAGATCAATTACATCTTCTAGACTAAACTAAAAGACACACAACTTTAGGGTTAATATCACTTTTGCTCTGAATGATTCTACAGGCTATAATCTATAAAGTGTGTTTGTACACAGGGAAAACTGCTAAAAATAATGTTACATATATTTATGTAGGCTGTGAGTGTTTTTAGTAATTGTTCAGCAAAATATTATAATTCAGAACAAATTAACAAGCAAACCAGCTGATACAAATTTCCCCAAAATGGAAGTAGGTTCTAGACTACAAGTGCCAAAATTTTCCAGTCATTAGCAATAACACTTATACTTACCGTATTTTTGGAGTATAAGACGCACCAAGTTTTGAAGAGGCAAATTTTTTAAAAAGGTTTTTGCACTCTGCAAACCTCCCCAAAATGGCCCATTTTTCATGAAAACGGGACCGTTTCCCCCCCCCCAAAAGGGCATGAACCTTAGGAGGCTTCTAGAGTGTTCCTGGGGTGGGATGGGGGACAAAAATGAACAAAAAATGGCCCATTTGGGATGGAGTTTCAGGAGGCAAAAAATTGCTATATTCAGTGTATAAGTCGCACCCAGATTTTCAGCCTCTTTTTGAGGGAAAAAGGTGCATCTTATACTCCAAAAAATACGGTATATACTGCTTCACAGTACTTTACAGCCCTCTCCAAGTGGTTTACAGAGTCAGCATATTGCCCCCAACAGTCTGGGTCCTCATTTTACCCACCTCAGAAGGATGGAAGGCTGAATGAGCCTTGAGCCTGGTGAAATTTGAACTACCAAATTGCAGGTAGCCAGCAGTCAGCAGAAGTAGGCTAAAGTTTTGCATTCGAATCACTGTGCCACCATAATTACATTACTGTAATTCAAATCAGTATTATAAGACAGCAAAATAACAGAATTGTAAGGGACCTTGGAGGTCTTCTATTCCTGCTCAAGTAGGAAACCCTAAACCATTTTAGGCAAATGGTTGTCCAATCTCTTCTTAAAATTCTCCAGTGTTGGAGCACCCACAACTTCTGGAGGCACGTTGTTCCACTGATTGTTCTAACTGTCAGGAAATTTTTCCTTAGTTCTAGGTTGCTTCTTTCCTTGATTAATTTATATCCATTGCTTCTTGTCCTGCCTTCAGACTAGGTTAATCCCCTTTTCTGTGTGGCAGTCCATAGATATTGAGACACTGCTATCATGTCATATCTAATTCTTCTTTTCATTGAACTAGACATACTCGATTATTGCAACTGTTTTTCATATGTTTTTGCCTTCAGTCCCCTAATAATCTTTGTTGCTCTTCTCTGTACCCTTTCTAGTGTCTTAATATTATATTTACATCGTGGTAATTAAAACTGGATGCATGTGTATTCCAAATGCCTTACCAAGGCATTATAAAGTTGTATTAACACGTCATGTGTTAATACATGTGATTCTACATGTATTAAACATGTTACTACATGTGTTATTACATGTTAATACATGTGATTCTATTCCTCTATTAATACAAACCAAGACCGCATTGGCTTTTTTGGCAGCTTCAGCACACTACTGGCTCATATTTAAGTGATTGTCCACTAAGGCTGCAAGAACTTTCTCACAATTACTACCGTTGAGCCAGGTACCATCTATACTATACTTGTGTATATTTCTCAGATCCATTTTTTTCTCAGATCCTTCACATCTTAGTTTACATAAGATGTAGAACTTTTAAATCTACATGGAAAGACTCAGCATTTGTTCAAAATATTCCCTAAGAAGGAAATAGGGCTCAATGTCCTTCAGATGTTTGGGAATACCGGTTTCAATTATAATGCTGACTGAAATTTTTTTAGAGTTGTAGCCAGAATCCAATTGCACTTTGGGAAAGATTGTGTAAGCTGGTTTTCTTGTTAATTTGTTCCAAATCATAATATATTATTGAATAATTAATAAACAACACTCACAGCATGCACAAATATGTGACATCCTCTGAGGCAGTTTTCTATATAAAGTTCATGTGTTAACTAATATAATGTGAAACCCAGCATCACAACTAAGCCAGTTTGAACCTGTGCTATATTTTTTATGTTGGCCAACGAAGACTGTATGAGATGTTTGAAGTTAAAGTTAAATTAAGAAAGTAAACTATATAGATTTTCAGCTGTTGTTCAATATTGTTTGTAATTTTCTACTGCCTGAGTAAATTAAGGAATATAGGCAAATATAGATCCATTATTTTCCACTTGTTTAGATTGTTTAGATATAACATATTTATTCTTAGCCTATTTCTTTCCTTTGGTTTAAATTATGGACAGGACAGACAGATGTCATCACGTTAAGAAACAGAAAAAAATGAAATAGCTAAGGGAATGTAGTAGAAAAGAGAACAATGAGAACTAATAATTTGCAAAACAGTTTATTATTTTAAAATGTCAGCCCTAATTTTAAGTAGTGACATAATTCTTGTTAAAATCCATGTAGTGATGTCCAAGCTGGAGCCAACCTTTCCTTCAGCCGACAGTTTTATGATGAGCATTGGTCCAAACATCGTGTTGTCACTTGTATGGATTGGTCCCTACAGGTAAGATTTATAACTTGTTTTGTTAATATTTTATGTTTTCAATAGTTGTGTTTTATAGTTTTTAAAATGATTTTACATGTTTATTTTAAATCTTAAGATTGGAAGTTGGCTGAAAAATAGACAACTATATACTGTAAATGTTTTAAATAAAGAAAACAAATAGACTTTGTGATCATTTAATTACTTTTCCTTTCTTGTAATCATCCATGGGTGTTGGAACACATATATAACTTAAACTAGATGACACACTTGGATAAGACTGTCTAAAAGATAATAAAATAAATAAGCACACTACTATGCTAGAAATTCCAAGTATTTCGATTTAACTTTTTGAGGAGCAGGCACTAAGATTACAATAATATGTGTCAAGCTGCTAGTGAGAAAAACTTGTGATATTGGATGTTCAAAGAAAATAAGATTTAAAATGCCAGCAAGTCACACAAGTTCATACAGCTATAACCATATTAGCACAGTCATTTGTAAGAAGACATCTAGCCTTGGAAAGGGATGTATAACTTCATTGTTGAATATATGTTCTACATGCAGAATATCTCAATATTCTCAATGGGAAAAGAAATTATACAGCAAGCAGAAGTTTGTGGAAGAGTCACTATTCATTGAAGTGTTTTGTTACATTGACTACAGATAAGCATATTTCAATTTTTGTCCTATTGAGACATATCAGATATAGATAGTAAACATTATTTTATGGGGTTTAGATACTCTACTGGGAATTAAAATTTGCACTTTATGAGTTTTATAATAAGCTTATTCAAAGTTTAACTACAATAGTAAAAGATAATACAAACTAAAAAGAAAAATAGAAAGAAAAAATAAGAAGTGCAAGAAAGCAAATAAAAGAAAAGGAGACTTCCCACATTCAGAAAGGAGAAAGGGGGGGGGGGAATCCCTAAAAAAGTGACTAAATAGTTTCAGTATCTCTTCATTTTTAATTTAACAGATATAAAACTCTTCATACCATAGCTCAATGTTTAAATATTGGGAAATCAAATAAGCAATTTGGGCAATCCAGTAAACCAGTTAACAAATACAAAATCCATTTTTCCAAATCTCTACTCTTAACTATAAACAAATCAAATACACAGTGTATTTTCTAATCCAGATGTCAGCTAGTCCAGAAAGAACCATTCAAAATAACAACATATTCCACGTTAATCCTGATTAAACAAGATAAATGTGTTCCTTTTTTCTACATAAAACTATCTTGATCTTAATCTATTTAAATGATTAATATGTTTTATCTTGAGTGTCTTCAAAACTTTAACATTTCTCTTCTGTAAATCCAGAAGGAAGAAATTATTCCAATTACTCTCTCGAATTGACATTTTTATTTCCTTCTTAATTTTAATCTGATGTTTTTATATGACAAATACCTGTTCACTTTGTTCTCCACAATCATGTCATGTTATTGTTCCATTTTTTTTCTTTTCTTCATCTTCTTCTGAGACTATGCCATTCATAAGAACACAAACACAACTGACTGTTGATTCAAGGGTCTTGGTGACAGTCCTCAAAAATATCAATTGCGTTATAAATTGCTTACTTATAAGTTGTTGTTCAAATAGCAGGCCTTTATGGATTATTGTGATGCTAACATAAAGTAACAAATAATGTTGATTCTCAAGATAACAAACAGCCTTGGTATATTTTGAATCAGTTATTTTCGGCCTAAGAGATGCAAACCTGCATCTAGCTTGAGAGAAATAATGCAGATATTGAAGTTCAGTTTTTTATTTATAGTATGTAACTTCATCTTTATTGCCAGAGTGGTTTTTGCATCCATGTGTTTTAATTAAATCCATTTTGCAACAGATATGACTAAGTACGTGGGTGGCCGATAGGCCTATGTGGATTTCACAGAAATAGGAAATAAGCCTGAGGAAAAACTTATCTTGGACTATTCAAGGGGGTGGAAATTACATGGAATTCTTATCTGATAGTTTTTTAACAAGCAGCATTTATAGTATTCCCGCAACAGCAAGATAAGCCCAACTTCGAAGGCAACTGCCAAAATATAATTGTTCATTCCCTCAGGCAGGCAAGTATACAGAGTATTTTGTCTCTTCTTTCTTTGTTCTGGGTGGCCTTGTTTCACCTTCTTTTCTTCCAGCTCTTATCTCTCTTAGATGTTCACCTCAGCTACGCTCACTGCCGCCATTTCTGATCCCTAGGTTTCATGCTTCAAACATATAGTTAAATAGGCAGACATACTCAGAATAAACTTTGATGTGTTCCAGTCTTTCCTTTTCTGGTAGTTTGAGAACGGTGTTACAATTTCCAGAATATTATAGTTATGCTGACTGTCATAATTGAAAAGTGTCCATTTGGGAATAATTATGTGGCCTCATACAGTGTATTGTTTACAATGCTTGAATGGCTCAATGAAAGCCACACAATGTAATTTTCTGTTAACCAGGATTATATAATGCAGATAAGCATTCATGTTACTGATCATCAGAAATAAATGTAGAAATGTGAAAAATATCTTCATGTGTAAAGCCAGTTTTTCTTTTCCATTGCCCCAAATGGTCTCCTCAGAGAAAAACCTGTCTTGACTTTTACTTAATTTCCCTGATATTCCCTGTGTTTATTGATACATTGTTACTTTTAGGTTGCCAGGCCCATCTGATTTATTGCAATGTTTTGCTTTGAGCAATAAACAGTGCTTTCTTCCCCAATTCAAGGTGTGAATTCAAAGCCAGTTGATTAATTATAATACTTAACATATAAGATATTTAAATGACTTTGAAAAAATATATGACCAATCAATTGCACAATGAAAAAAAAAACATTTCATGTGCCCAAAATTTCATGCTTGAAGTGGCCATTTTATTCTGCTGTTGAGAGTTATCAAATGAAGCTTTGTTGAAGGGTCTCCTACATCTGAGCTAAATCATATTTATTCATAAACCAATACAGATATAATTATAGATGTAGACTTGTACTGCAAGCAGAAGATATCACCATTAAATCATCATGGCATAATGTGCTTATAATATATACTACTAAAATCAATGGTGTGTGGCACATAAATTAACAACCAGTTCATCCAGCACCAAAAATGTGAGCATGCTCTCACATGCCTGCGTGCAGCCTTCCGCGCAGGCGCTTTGCTCACATGTGCGTCTTGCACACATGCATGCGGCTTCAAAAACACAGCTGAATAGGATGACATTGTGCCAGGGAGGGTGGGCGGGGTCACCCGCAGGTCGCAACTACCGGTTCATTTGAACCGGTCCGAACTAGCAGCAGCCCATCACGGACTAAAATGTTCTGTACATTGTAACCAAGTAAAATGTGTAATAGTAGTTGAAATAATTCATATTGTGGAAACAGGAAATAATGAAAAATATATTTAATAACTACAGATATAGATAAAACAATATTATTTCTATGACTAATAGGACAGGAAACAAGCAAACATTGAACAAGTAAAGAGAAATGGATCAGTGACTGGATCTTCACATACTAAGTTTGTTTTATTGTGTTTCTGTAAAAGCCATAAAAAGTCTGTTGGATAAAAGCTGGCAATTCCTTTATAAAATTATAAATTATAGTTTGTTTGTTTGTTTATTTATTTATGAAATTTATTTGCTGTACATCTTATATTCAACGACTTAGGAAGCCTTACAGTGGTTAGTATAATTTACAATAGGTAGTATAATTCCAATAGTCTCTATTAATATTTTGTCAAGAACAGCACTGCCTTTAATTTAAGGGGGAAATGTAGATGTGTTGTTAACTGTTAATTTAAATAGTTTTTTTTAAAAAAATAGTTAGATAGAAGATCAAGCCATCATTCCATGGTTGTGATTCTTGATGGCTCAGTACTGTTTCCTGCATCACAGCACACTGTTAGTATCAGCTACTAGGAAGTGAGAATGGATATTGGTTCTTTCATGCAAATCTGGATGCTGTGTGACATAGAAACTAAACTTGATGGATTCCAGATCCTTATATTTTGGTGTGTTTCAGTAATTTCAAATATAAACCACACTTTTTCTTTATTTTTTTAGTTTTGCACTATGTGGAATAAACATACACAGACATTTAATGGTTGTGTGCACTTCACAAAATACACCTTCCCTGGAGCATTAAAGTAGCTATATGGCTTGGCTGCATTAAAAAATATTTCTTTGAAGGCAGTCAGGCCACATGCTTCCATTTGCACAGACTTCACATTTGTTGTAAGCTCCACTAAAGCAGAGCAGCTGGCCAAAGTCATTCATTGGGAAAGCCCATGAAGTAGCTAGTCAACCCTATAAAAAGATTAGTCTACTTTGTGCTTTGAGGAAAGGGCATTTGTTTCCTTCTGAATACTTTGCAAAGCTCTAGTATACACAGGCACTTACGTTTAACCACTCACCAATCATCAACAGTGCCACATATGTCAAGCAGATGTGAATGTAAGGATTTCAATCAGGTGAGTGAATTGGCTGATGAAGGCAATATAGCAGAGGCTGTCTTTTCATCTCTATTCTCCTAATTTCAGATCTAGTGATGAAGGAACATTTTCTACTTTATAGACCATTCTGTCTTTCTTTTGCCAGACCTTCTGGATGGACCTATCTGTTTATGTGATTTTTACTCAGCATACATCATTTTGTCCACTACTGTTTATCTAAATTTAACTGCCTGTTATTTTCTTTACAGTATCCTGAGTTGATGGTTGCTTCATATAACAACAATGAAGATGCTCCACATGAACCTGATGGGGTGGCCTTGGTCTGGAACATGAAATTCAAAAAAACAACTCCTGAGTATGTTTTTCACTGCCAGGTGAGACAGTTTAAGATGCTTATTTGATAAAAGATGTGCTGAGGATTACTGTACGTCCCATCTGCCCACAATTCAGAAGAGTTAAAAATAGAAGATATAGAAAGAAAAAAAGGAAGTATGCTAATATTTTCAGAATGCATTCAGTTTTCTAAAACAACATAGGCTGGTTGGAAACTGTGTGTCATTTTTTTGTCTATTTTAAACAATCCCCAAGAGAATTTATTTATAAAAACCTCACACTTATGAAGTAAATGTGGTATACCACTTCCTCCTCCAGCTGGCAACATATGCTTTCCCACCCACGTAAATTCCCTTATGTTTTCTATTTCAAAGCAGCTTGTGCTCTGCTTCACTTTGCTTGGAAAGATATTATAGCTTTACAATGCATGAGCACAGAAGAGACTTGCAAATATTAGCTTTGCCAATGGCAGGATAGAATTGAGATCACTGCATTTCCACCAATTACTATCTGATTTTCAAGTCCAGGCACAGGTGTCTCTAAGATCACCATCAATATCCTAGTGCAGTGATGGCTAATCTTTTTGTTAGTGGGTGCCAAAAATGTGAGTGTGTGCAATAGCGTGCACACATGCCAGCATCCATAATGTAAACCCCGACATGCGCATGGCACACATGTCCCCCATGCTCCCACAATGCACACCACACTGTTCACCTCCATGCAGAACTTGGGGAGGGAGGGCATTTCACCCTCCCCGGGCTCCAGGAAAGCCTCTAGAGCCTGGGGAGGGTGAAAAACCAGCCCAACTTCTAGTAGGCTTATTGGGCCCATTTTTTGCCATTCCCAAGATCTGGATGCTTTCTTGAAGCCTGGGGAGTGTGAAAACGTCCCCCAGAGGCTTTCCAGAAGCTGGAAACGGATTGTTTCCAAATTTCAGGTAGGCCTATTTTTCACCCACTCTAGGCTCCGAAGGTTTTCCTGAAGCCCGAGGAGGACAAAAATGGAATCCCCCGGCCCTACGGAAAGCTGAAAATAAGCTGGCCAACCTGCTCTTGCACGTTAGAGCTGATGGGTCACGTGCTAGCAGATATGTCTCCGCGTGCCACCTGTAGCACACATGCTATAGGTTCGCCATCATGGTCCTAGTGTAACAATTGAAGCAAAAAATCAAGAGGTATATCTGGAAATTCAAAGAAGTGTATCCCTACCTGTTTTTTTTTCAAGATCATCTTGAGCCAAGAATATTTGTGGCAATAAGGTTAGACCTTAACTTACACCCATTCATTTAGTGACTGTTGAAAGTCACGATGGTACTGGAAAAAGTGACTTATAAATGGTCCTTGCATTTACAACTGTCACAGCTTCCCCAGTCATTTGATCAAAAATTGGTGCTTGGTGACTGACATGCATTTACAATGGTTGCAGCATCCCAGAATCATGTGATCAATATTTACTATATTCCCAGGTAGGCTCCAAAAACTAAAGTCAATGGGGAAAGCCAGATTCATTTAATAACCTGTGATTTACTTAACTGCAGTGATTCATTTAACATCCATTGAAAATTTGTAAAATTGGGCATGACTCACTTTGCTTAGCAATGGAAATTCTGGTCCCAATTGTGGTCATAAGTTGAGGACTATCCATACTCATAATATCTACAAGGTCCTTTACTGATTTAATTTTGTGTTAGTTAATTTTGTTGCAAGGTAAGGAAGTATGTGGTGATTATCTGAGATCTAACATGATACAAGGCACAACATCTCCTTTTACTAGCTAAATTACAGTTTTTAATCTCAAAATTCCAATCTATTATAATTTCACTATCTCCTCACTTTCTGCAACAAGCAGAAACTCTTTAGTTTGTCCTAAATCTGAAATAATAAACTTATTTTGAACTGAAAATAATACAAGTTAATGCTGTTTTGATTAATGAGGTATCAGATTCATATTTCTTATGATCAAAATATTTAGCCTAGAGATAAGTACTTTATAGTTTCTCCTTTTTTATCTCTAGTTTATTATGATAGCATTATATTTCAGAAATACAGAAATGTATTTAACTACAACTTTCAAATGTCATCATTGTCTTTAATAATTTGTTCTATAAGGTCATTACAAATATTGTTTCAGTTGATAATTAGATGCTTGATATCCTTTGAATATCTATTATTCAGATCTGAAACTTCAAACTGCCCTCTCTGCTTAGAATAATTTGCAGGGAGATTATTCATTTGGAGAGAATTTAATCCTTGAAGACTTACAGAACATCTCTGACATTTTCATTACATAATTATTTGTCTTTGCCAATATAATGATGATATATTAATATATTCAAGGTTTTGTTTGAATAAGAACAGTTTGCTGAGATCAAAACTTTAAATGGCTCAGTGGAATCATTTGAGATCTTTGATGAGAATCAGCCTTTTTGTTCTGTTTCTGATGGAAAATTACGTGGGGTTTCAAACTTCAACCAATCTGAATGAGACCATAAAGTAGCTAAAAATGTACAGTACTAGGAAATATTGTGTCACTCCTTAAAACACTCTACACTATCTTAAATGCTTTCCCTAGTACGTTTATAATGAAAATCACATATGAATTGCCATATTTATAAAGGGAAGATTGTGGGAGGAGACTTAGAAGGAAGATGGATCTAGATATTCCTTTTTTGGGGTGGAAGGGTAGATGGGCTAATCTTAAAATACATGATCTGGGCAGTCTAATTTAATAAGAAAACTATATGCAAAGACTGAGTTCCTTGAGTCAGCTGGAAAACAGAAACAGAAACTTTCAAATATTTCATCTTACCTCAGAACTTGGAAGAGAGGCAAGATGTGTTACAGATTATCATGATGTCATGTTTTGGTTACTTTGTGGAAACCAACTATGTTATTATTTAGTTGCATATTTGTGTATCTAAAAAACTGCAAAGGAAATGATCCCTAACCTGTATCTCAACTCTTAATGTTCACAGTCTTTCTTATTTACCATGTCCACTTTGCAAAAACTATAGTAATTGGTGGTAGCTGTTGCATATGATTAAATAAATGAAGTCATGTTTATTACATCTTATTTGAACAAACATAATTGTCTTATTAAAAAAAAAAAGCAAATATGCATTAAAAACCGGAACCTATTAAGCTGAGTAAAACTGTCAGCAACAGTTTGATACGAGAGTCATATCAAAAATAATTTGGGTAGTAAATTATGACTTATACAATATACATATACAGTTATACTCACTGTTTTAATAACCCATTTTTCATTCCAAAACATTATTACTTATTAATATATGTATCAAATTAAAATTTATTCGGTGTCTTATCTATTAATATGCAAATGGTTAGCACATTTAAAAGAAATAGTATTTTTTGTGAGAATGAACAATTCGAGTGGCTCTATGGTCATGTTTAAAATTTTGTACATTAGTTGCATGTAAAATATTGGAATAAATAAAATAAATTACATCTAAATGGAGGTTTAAGTCCTCCTAACCGCATAGACCACCTAAACCTTGATTGATCTAAGAAAAAAATCAGGTTTATAATGAGTTTCCATAGGAATTCTGGAATCTAATTTATTAGAATTCAGGAATTCTATTCAACTATAGGTAATCTATATGTTGAAATGTGTAGACCAACATCTGGGAAATGTTTATAACTTGCTTTTCCCCATCTTGCTTCTTCTACTGCTTCAGTTCGTACTTTCTGACTCTAATTTTATACAATTGTTTTCGTTAATATATCTACATTCATTGAAAAAATAAGTTTATTTAGTTGTTCTTAGAAATAAAAAATAGAATTAATTATTAAAATAAAATATATCACAAAAATCATAACATAGTAAACAATAACATGAAGTAGAGGATTACTTTTATTTCATATATTTAGTTTTTTAATGCAATTCTGAATATTTTATTTACTGTTAGATCAATAATGAATCAAAACATAATCCAAAAGAAGTCATTTTTATCTTGGTTATAAATGCTTTTCTATTTTTGTTTTTATTTTACAATAAAATATTGTAGATAAGCATTAATAAGTGATAAAACAAGAAACAATCAATAATATGAATAAAATCACTGCTAGATAACAGGCAGAAAGTTAGGAAAGAAATCCTGGCAGAATAAAATGTAATTATTCAAAAGCTCAGAAACACCAATTTTGAAGCATTGTATGTGCTTTTCTTCTTAAGCTGATAGAAATAATGCAGTTCGGTTGACTGGGTATTAGTACAAGAACAACTCAAATAGGCACAGCTGAAATTTATTCTGCATGAGTTTGTTTAATAGTGGAGTCAAGAATACCAATCTATAAAAGCCTATTTTAGTATTCTTGTACTAAATAAGTTTACTTTAGTACAGGAGTCAGGAGGCTGCAATTTCTAACTGAAAATGGTGGGAATGCAACCCCCTTTATATTGATTTATGCAGATAAAAATATACTTATAATATGTGAGATCAGAAAATAAAGGTGAAACCAGAAAAGATGAGAGTTTTAAAAAAAATTTAGAATCAAGATTCTTCGATTCAGAATAATAATATCTTTTCTCCTTGTTTCATTTATTTGCCTTCTAAACATGCTTATGACCATACTGGTATTTTTTTTGCTTCTCTAAGTGCCCAGGAAGTGTAGGTAGGAAAAGGCATTTTTTTCTTCATGGGAATCTTCAAAATAAATCTATATTGCATTATAAAATTTTATGTGGTTAAATTTATATTTTATTCAATATGTTTTCATACTGAACATCACCAGGCATTTTCAGTACAATGATAACTATTACTTTCATTATTACCAACTATTTTCCCACAGTTTCCTTGGTATGTGTGTGTGTGTGTGTGTGTGTTCCAGCATAACTCGGGTATGTCTTCAGCAATTTAAACCAAATTTGGTACACAGATGACTTATTATCTGGAAACAAATACTGTAGGGATAAAACACCCCTAACACCCCTCGGGATGTGTGTTCTGTTAAGATACAGCCTGTTGTGTCATTCTGCCGGCTTTACTGTACAGCAGAGTGGAGTTGCCATGGTAATAACT